GTCTCTGATCAACCACTATTCCTTGTGATTACTGGTGTCTTTTACCCTTGATCCAGTGGCTTCCAAAAGCTTGATAATTGTTTTGTCATTTGTGCTTAATCTTATTCCGTTAATATAACACAAATGGTTAGGTTAATATATATCAAATGACAATACAATACATTTTAAAGGCTGCTTTAAATAATTGGACTTTATTTCATTCTGGGAAATCTGTGATTTATGTTTTACAGCCCTGTGCTTATTGCATTGTACTTTCAATTCTTGGTTACTTGTGTGGAAACAAAGTTTACATCTAAATAATTGTTTACAAATGTAAGCATGGATTATCTTAAAACTGTAAATGTTCAATTTTCAATTTTGAATTAAATCAAAGTACATTTGTATGTCAGAATTCATGAAAAGTATTGTTAAAATTAGATTTACGTCTTCGGTTTTGTATAATTTCAATTTTAGTTTATGTATAATGCTTTTTAAACATGAGATGAGTAATGAATCCATATAAACCGTCAGCCATACTTCCTGTTAACAAAATTCAATCAAAATATCAATGGAAATTTATTCCAAATTCGAAACAAAAACATTCCATTTGAAATTCTTACATATATGAACTGATGCACTTAAAACAGAAAAGAATGTGCCAAAAAACCCGAAAGACCGGTAGGGACATTTCGACTTCATGAATTCCCAATGTCATATTCGTGAATTCACAATTTTAACTTCTTGAACTCACTCTTTCAACTTTTGGAATTCAGGAATTCTCGATTTCAACTTCATGAATTTACGATTTCAACTTCACGATTTCAACTTCACGAATTCACGATTTCAATTTCACTTATTCAGGATTTTAACTTCATGAACCAAGAATTTCTGATTGAATTAAACTATAATTGATTAAGAGGTATGTTTGTTTCAAGAAGATTTATCGCAGAATTTGACACCCTATGTTTTTTTATGTTTAAAGACAGGAAGATTTACGTGTTTTGATTCCGATGATGAATGTATGAAACTATTAACAACTCGGACATTACTTGCAAGAAAGTTTTAGAATAAGTTGGTTTAAAATAAATCGTTATTTGGCGTTAATCCTTTTGTAAATGTAAAAATTCCATTAACTCATGTAATAAAACAAAACAGTTTCTCGACTACATTAATTATTAAAGTCATAATGCAGATGTAAACTTTGTAAACTTTTGCCAATTATGACTTTGATAATTTTTCATTAATAGAGAAATATTAGATGTTTAATTGTTACCTGAAGAGAGTAGCGACAAATGTGAAATAAATTGTCATAAATGAAGCAAAAATGTAAACATAATAGTATTTTAATGTCCATATAAAATATTAATTCACTATAAGAGTAATTATTGCCAAAAACCAATAGATGAAAAAGATGGTTTGGGTAATTGGCCAAAGAGTAACTTGTTTGATTCGGTAAAAGTACACCAACTTTAAAAAAAGAAATAAACATAGCGGCATTTCTGAGGTATTATCAGTTTTAGATTAGTTTACAAATTGCTGATATCAATTTCAAATAATAGGCATTGCTCTTTGATGATTTACTGTAATGCTTTCCCGCCAAAACAATTCTAAAACCGACCAATATCGTAACAAATCGGTTACTTCCGGAACATTATTTTTTCCAAATCTTGGGCATTAGATGATTTACAATCATCCATCCTTTATTGCTATGTACTAAATTCCGGTTAAAAACGGTTAAGAATTATTGAAAACCGAAGACTGTGAAAAATAACGTTCCGGAAATGACCGATTAATTACGATATTGGCCGATGTTAGAATAGTTTTAGCAGGAAAGTATTGCAGTAAGACTACATGGGGAAATTATAATAAATAATTACATTCAGTTGTTGCAATGATATGAGCCGCGTCACGACAAAACCAAAATAATGGGTTTGCGACCAGCATGGATCCAGACCAGCCTGCGCATCCGCGCAGTCTGATCAGGATCCATGCTGTTCGCTTACAGACCCTATAACAAGTATAGAAACTGATAGCGAACAGCATGGATCCTGATCAGACTGCGCGGATGCATGGTCTGGATCCATGCTGGTCACAAACCCATTATGTTGGTTTTGTCGTGACGCGGCTCATATATGGCATGCCTAAAAAAAAGCTGTTCTACTTGATGGCATAGCTGAAATGATACCTCCATTTCACGATATTATTTACATAATTATAGCGTCTGTTTTATGCTTTATGCTTTTTTTTTGTCCCGTAGGGATGACAGAAGCTGTACTAGTCCTAGCTTTTCTATTAATTTCCTAACCGATAAGATATTCACTTTGAATATAAAAATAGTCTTAACATTGTGCTGTAATTGACATGTTTTTTTCTATTTTATTTGTTTTGCAAATTAATATTCTTTAATAATATTTTCACCTTTTTGTTTTCATTGCTGTAGAAAGAAACTCACTTACGGGGAATTTTAACATCTTTCTTCGAATGACAAATTTTCGCTGCTCTTGTCAAAGCTTATGCCAGAAATAAGATAATTAATAACTCAAAGCTTAAGTCACCGTTGTTTGTAGAATAGATATACGATTTGATATATTTCCGCCATAAGAACAACTGCAATAAAGTTGATTACATACAAAACAAATTGAGCATGGGTAACTTCAATTATCATCATTTTTTTGCATTATATCGTTTAAATTTAAGGTCATTTAGGTAACAATTCTATTTCTGAAAGCATTTGAATCTTGCGTGTTTCAAAGCAATTGTGATGGCATGGTCATGGTTAATTGAACGATATCGTTTAAGCAAAATATGATACAAATACATGTAACTGTTTTAGTATCTTAATGTCTGCTGGTAGAAGATAGCTAAATCAACTTTAGCGTCTTATTAGTTAAATTGCTGAAAGTAAGTATGTTAATAGTCGGTTACAAATAACAATCATATAATGTGCACAATTATAGCACCCGGCCCCATTGGCCATTAAGTCACGAATTTAATGATTTTATAATGAATCATATAAAACATAGAATAACAAATAAAAAGTGAATGGTTCTAACTAACGCGACAACAATATCAACAAAATTTTACAAACGTTTAACACTCTATATAGAGCTTGATAAAGAGCTGCGTTTTTTATTTATTTTAAAAAGTCTATAACCCACTTTCGCTGCGAATAACGTTTTCAAATAAACAGACGTTGCTTTCCTTAATCTAGTTAATGAAAACAATCGCGATTGCTGAGAGGTAATAATTTATACGCGTATTAATTTACATTTTAGAATTTAATTTAATGATATTTTAAAAGGATCCGCTAAATTTGAACAAATCAAAACCTATCGCATTAAGTGTCATTTTAAATAAAATACCTGTTGTTTGCTATTCTTTTTTGCAATAAACAATGCCTCTTTTTCTGTTTTGCTGTGTAAGTTGTTTTGTTGTTGTTTTTTAATGTGTGTGTGGGGGGGTGTTTTGTTTGTTTCTTGCTTGTTTCTTGTTTGTTTCTTGGTTTTTTTTGTTTTTTTTTTTTGTTTTTTTTTTTTGCACAAACTGGTCAATATTCTATATCTTAGACTTGTTGAAGTTCCTATTAAGCTTATAAAGCCGAGAGAATGGCATCTTTTGTAATAGAAAAACTTGGCTAATTTGGTTATCGCGTGCTTTAGAAGCTGTCCTCTTATTATACTTTATAGGCTTGTACTCGTAATAATGCTATTATACGTGAATAGATAGTCCTATTTAATGATCTTTTACGAGTTTATTAAGGTACGCCCATTTTCAACGAGTATTTTAGTTTTATCATTATAATTATGAGCCGTGTCACGACAAAACCAACATAATGGTTTTGCGACCAGCATGGATCCAGACCAGCCTGCGCTTCCGCGCAGTCTGATCAGGATCCATGCTTTTCGCTTACCAACTCTATTACAAGTAGAGAAACTGCTGGTCGCAAACCCATTATGTTGGTTTTGTCGTGACGCGGCTTATAAAACATTTCATAGAAAAAATTTAAAAAATACAACTGAAATGTGCACAGGTGTTGTTTTTCACAGATAGTACTGTATCCTCCATACATTTTAAAAAGTCATATATTTGTCTAGCTGTTCTTTTTTATGCGCTATAAAACATCTTTATCCGTGTCATAAGTAACACCAAACTCCCCAAAGCGGTTACGTCACGCTTTGCTACTTTGTTACTGTACTGATCAGGGGAAGTAACCGCTGCGGGGAGTTTGAAGTAACACATATACAAAAAAGAATGAAAAAGGCTTCAATTTGGATGAACATGTATACATTGATAAATTAAATGTATAATTTCTGTAATAAATCTCGGTTACTTTATTATCCTTTAAGCATACTGTAATATTGCCTCATTAATTGAGGCAATATCATGTTATTTTATCGATACGCAGGGGACAAAAGAACAGTATGAAAAGGGAGACTAAGCTGTTATTACTGTATCGTTTACCATGCAGAGTTCTCTTTCTTGTATATGTTTTTGTATTCATGTTTATATGGTATCAATTTACAAATTCTTGGATGTCTAATTGAATATCGCATCATGTTGTATTATTGATACATAAAAACATCGTCTGCAGGAAAAAAGAACGTAATTGGCAGAGCCCATGTAAAAGGGAGACTACTCTGTTATTACTGAATCATTTGCCGTATAGTTATCTTTCTTGTATATTTCAAAAAGGTCGATGTTTTCGTTATTAATTTACAAATCTTTTTATTTTGATTGACCGAAAACCACAGTAGCCAAAAGTACCCAGTTGTTATAGCCATTGATTAGAGAATAAATGTCTCGCTAAAAACTACTGTCTCACATAATTTTTTCCAGCAAAATAGTGTAAGGGAAACAACTCTTGCAATATTAATAAGACAAGACATCTTCTTTCCATAATTGAAATAAAATAAACATAATCAAAGACTTGTAACCAAGGGAGATAATAAACATGTTTGCATATAAAGGGAAGACAAAAACACAAGAGAGACAAGAAGAAAGAACAAAAATATTTCATAATATTGTTTTAATACTTTAAATAACATTCATTTTCATGTCATAAAAATCATTACACATACATCAACAACAGAATAATACATATATTTAAATAAGAATTTGAGTGATAAATTACTTTGGAAATAAATATCATTCTATTGCACTAAATCAACATAAAACCTTACCTTAATAATTAAGATATATGAAAACTGATGCATGCAGCACAAGAAAGTTCAAACTTTATTAAACACTGAGTCAATTTATTGGATAAATGGATGGTATCTCTTGGGTTTTTTTTTTGTTTGTTTTGTTTTTTTTTTGTTTTGCTTAATATTATATATATGTATTAATATTTTTGGTTGTATTCACTTAACATAATAAGTATCTCATTGAGATAGTTTGAGATTTTCAAATATTTCTAAGATTGCTTTTGAAAAAAAATATTGAAAATTTCTAAAAATGCAAGTGAACATATAAAATCTTTATTTTCCGAGTGAAATATATTGCATATTAACAGTAACCAAAATCCAAAATTTTATAATTCACTCATTTTCAAACAGTTATAAATACTTGTATGATAACAGGTCTATTATATAAATCTCTGATATGACTTATATTTCACTGACATGAGATGAACATTAATATTTCAATAAAAAACAGACATTAAAAATAATGTTTAATTAAAATCACATTAATTTTAATAATTTTTAAACGAAACCTTTCTAATCTATAATTATAACTGTTTCAAATTACAAAAAAAAAATTAAACAAATACCTTAAACTATAAAATTATAATACAAGAATAATAAATAAAGAGTTGACAATTTCACATTTGGCTATCTACAAATTCATTGCTGGTGCAGTTTGACCTTTAATCAGAGGTTAAAAGTCTAAACTTTGACCTTTTATCAAAAATTCACAATCTGACCTTTGACCTTTTATCAAAAGTTTACCGTCTCACTTCTCATCAAACGTTCAACTATGAACTTTGAACTTTCCTATAATTATGTTTTATAAATATCCAGTCTCTCACACACACAAGAGTTGGCATATAAGTTTTTTTGGGAATGAGGAGGTTTTCTACTGTACCACGGAATCCATTTCTTTATGTGGCTGAGTTTCCTTTCCCGAAACTGGAGATCTAGAGCTTTCATTTGGACTGAAATAGAGAAAAATAAAATGGGTTCTTTTAAAAAAGTAATCCTTCCCCGATATTGAACATCGAAAGCTTTCATTTGGACTGAAATAGAGAAAAATAAAAGAGGTTCTTTAAACAAAGTAATAATTCAGAAAGAAAAAGTTGTAACCTTAGTGCAATAACTGATAAACTCCTATTTAATTTAGAGGAACTTGTTCCATTGCTGCACTACGTGATGAAATTAAATTAAATTTAGTGTTTTTTTAAGGAACAGCTTGAGGAGTTATATTTTAAATCAAAAGTTTTTCTCCAAATTATGTTTTATCTTAAAGACCCATGAAGCTCCTGAAAATGCTATTATTTTTATTACTCAAATACCCTTTTTTTTCTTCTTTTTTGTTGTTGTTAGTTTTCATAGAAATTTTTCAAGTTGTTCATATAGCTGAGCAATCTTTTGCTCTTTGGCGATAAGCATAGTTATAGTGATAAAGATTTAGTATAGTTGTGGGGATTTAGATTTTAAATAAGTATTTTGTATAAAATTCAAAAAGCTACTTTGTTTACACTTTTGCTACCTTTACCTTACATTACTGCATGTTCAGTGCTACTTTCTTCAGTTGTTAATCACCAAGCATTACTTATCTCACTTTTCTAAAAACAAATCTAAGAAGTATGGATGTCTGAGGCATGATGTGCCTTTAAATAATACTTATAAGAGCCGCGTCACGACAAAACCAACATAATGGGTTTGCGACCAGCATGGATCCAGACCAGCCTGCGCATCCGCGCAGTCTGATCAGGATCAATGCTGTTCGCTATCCGTTTCTCTACTTGTAATAGGGTTGGTAAGCAAACAGCATGGATCCTGATCAGACTACACGGATGCGCAGGCTGGTCTGGATCCATGCTGGTTGCAAACCCATTATGTTGGTTTTGTCATGGCACGGCTCATATTAATAGCTTTGAAGTGATGAGTATTTTGTCACAAAACAAAGTCTTCATTCATGTTATCAAGAAACCTCTGTTATCCTTTATTTTCCATTTCATTATAAGTTATAAAGGTTTTTGACAAGTTAATATATAGCCCTATATATAACGGTTTGTCTGCAAATATAACCTGAGCCACAAGGTGAGGGTTATATTGCAAACAATCATTTATATATGGCCATATAACCTGTAAGAATTATTTATAATAAATTTATAATACAGCAAGCTTTTTTTTTAAGAGAAAAAAGTGAAATTTGGTCATATATTGACAGCAGCCGTGTATATAAAACTATACCCAGTCCACCTGAGTGCCGACCAAGATCGACCAGCTCATTTGTCCTGATTGGTTGTGGTCCTGCACTGTTCACTATTTTGTCCCTGCTTTTTTGAATTTTCCCTAAAAATCATGAATGGTTTTGTCCAGATAAAAAGATGGACAAGTCTATTTAAGATATTTAGCATGGTATGGGTTAACAATTGCTGTATGATGCCAATGAGACAATGAAAAAAGTTTCACTTTTTCATTCCAAGAAGCTGAGCTTATAACTAAAAATTGGTATTGTCCTGAAAATAAGAATTTTTTTTAAGAACAAAACACTACAAATTATAATTTTATAACATAATGTCTAAACAACTTGCATAATAAACATAAGACCATCAATATAGCTACTCAATGTCAAACAGAAGTACTAAAATCCTTCCCAAATAAAATCTATCACATTATTTTTTTAGAACACTAACTACTGTCCTATTCTGAACCTGATGAAACTGCTTTATTGATTTTCTTTGCTTTGAATTTGGTAACGTCCATTGAAAGTTTAGGGGCATTTAATATCAGAATACAAGAAATGTGCTGCAAACAGTAAAGAGACGGGTCCGACAGCTTGGATGTGCAGGCTGGCCTAGCTTTATACTGAAAGCAAAAAAAATCGGAGGGTTCCGGAGGGACGGATATTAGATATTAGACGTATGTTAGATATTTATTTCTTGCATATTCTACCAGTTTCCATTATATTTTTAATTCTTTACCATGGATTCCATTGATTCTAACTATTTTCTTACAACAGCGTATGAAATTACAACTTCACTCAAAACAGCGAAATAACATCATCCTAAGCATGTGGTTTCAGTCTTAAGATACGCCGAAATGACGCCATTTTAATGCAAATGATGCCATTTTAAGGCAGTTCAAACGATAAAATGTGCTAAAATGACGCCATTGTATAGCATGAGACTCATCTGATGTGCAAGAAAAACACTTTCAGTTCCAGCAAGTAAAGGTCTACTTAGAGTATACTTGAGCCGCGTCATGACAAAACCAACATTTACAACCAGCATGGACCCAGACCAGCCTGCTCATCCACACAGTCTGATCAGGATCCTGGCTGTTTGCTTACAAACCTTATTACAAAAAGAGAAACTGATAGCATGGATCCTAATCAGACTGCACGATACATGCATGCGCAGACTGGTCTGGATGCATGCTGGATCCATGTTGGTTACACATGGCGCGGCTCATATAGAAAGAAACAACAAAATAAAGACCATCACAACATCTATTACTACCAGTAGACTTTATTCTATATGTTCGGACATGACACGACGGACCCTTCCCCTGCGTTTTTCAGAATGTTTGTGCCTGCCGTGAACCGGCGTAGCTGGCCGCTCAAACCCTCCACCTTCAGCATGTAAGTTTATATTAGGTGAGGAAATGGTAGAATACATGCCAGGATTATTCTTAATCTGTTCCCTGAAATACCCACATTATATATAAGCTGATGTATAAAAATATAGAACATTAAGAATTATTAACAAAATATGCCTACAGATGGGTAAAATAACTTTACGGAAAAAAAAAATCAAACTAAAGAAAAACGTTTTTTTGTAGGTTAAAAAATGTATATAATTATATTCACATAAATTAAGTAATTTACTGTTTTTATCAGTGAAAAAACTGCATTGTAGTGACAATAATATTGAATTATTTTTGTTTTGCGAAGCGTGGGCCTTGCTGGTGAATGTTTTAACATCATCTACTTTACACGTGTTGGTTTCCCACACATTAATGAAAACAGGTGAAAATTGCTGTGTTTTTTTCTTCTACTAGCCATAAAATAAAAAGAAAATGTGTTTGTTTTATCTGAATATGCTTAACATATTAACACATAAGAAAACACCACATTTTCACTCATAATATGCAGCTTGTGAAAATATTGCAATTTTCTTATTTGTCAGTGGAACATATACATGATATAGCATATTCACTCAAAACAGACAATTATTCTTTATAGTAAAATTATTATTTTTGTAATAGGCCAAAAGCTTTTGCCGAAAGTCTGATGTTGCCACAAAGCTATGCCTTCTCATAAAGTAACAACAGCAACAATGTTTGCTATTGAACCAAAGGTATATAAAGACAAGTTCAGAAATGCGGGTTAATGATCTGACGCGTACAAGAGGTACGAAACCAAGACACCATCACCATCCTAATTTTGGTTTACCATGCTTTGTCTGCAACAGCAGGCCTTTTCCCAGTGTCAGCATGGGTCAGAATATCAGACTCATTCCTAACAGCAAATATGCTTATTTTTTCCCAATCTTTAAAACAATTTCTCAATATCTAAATTAATGAATTTGATGATGTTCATTCTGATATGAGCCGTGTCACTACAAAACCAACATAATGGGTTTGCGACCAGCATGGATCCAGACCAGCCTGCGCATCCGCCCAGTCTGATCAGGATCCATGCTGTTCGCTTACAGACCCTATAACAAATTGAGAAACTAAAAGCGAACAGCATGGATCCTGATCAGACTGCGCGGATGCACAGGCTGGTCTGGATCCATGCTGGTCGCAAACCCATTACATTGGTTTTGTCATGGCGCAGCTCATATGTAACAAACAGATGTTTACTCACATTTTATCTTCAAATATTGTTGTTTATGTTATGCATTAATTGATATTTGTGTTGGTTAGAATAAACATTGTTGCACAATTCAAATACAGTGGGCCAAAAGAGCATGAAAGGAGGTTTAAAATGGTACCAAATATTTTTCTCAATGAAGCAATTTTACAGTACAAAATTTTCAACACCGACTTAGGTTCTTTTTCCAAAAACAGCTAGGAAAAGACCTGAAATAGGAGAAACTCAGTAACAGATTAACAATACATGCACGGAGCTTACCTTCGGTTTTGTTCATAGTCTATCTGCTGCTTAAGAAACATGGAGTTCTTCAGTAGGTCTTGAATATTTGTGAAATGGCTTGAACTTTTATGCATTTCATGAACGGCACTGTAAAATTCAGAGATAGAAATACAAAAATGAGTGTAGGTTTAAAGCTGCATGCCTCTAAATAAGCCATAATATTTCACGAAAATCAAACTTGAGAAGAATGTACTATGATTCTAAGAAAAGGAAAAAGATTCAAGTAAAAAATTAGATGCTATGTGCAATTTATGACTGATTTTGAAATATTTATCACCATATTTCTCATGCGTCACTAATGCAGTAAGGGCTACTTTCGCATATTTTTACCTTATTTTAGTAATCTACGTGGATCGTAAGTGCTGTTTGCAATGTGTAAATTACTTTCTTTGATCACTTGACAATATTTTACTTTTAAAAACATTTTCAAAATTTTCATGAAAATTACCATGAATTTGGAGGCATATTGCTTTAATACTAAAGTTATCAAATCTTATGAGTTGAATAAAATCATATTTACATAAGCCTCTTTTTCAACGAGCTTACTTCATGACGTAATGAATCTAAATGAATATTACATTCTCCTTATCATATATCTCAAATTAATACCTGTTTTCAGTTACAGATATCTGGAAACCATTTTTGTATTTTTAGGTATGGTGACCTTGACCTTGACCCCTAGGGGGTCAAAATGCAAAACCAACCAGGGTCTTCATATAGGCTTGCTATACACCCAGTTTGATTACAATATCTCATTCCTAACTCTAGTTATTGTCCATAAACCATTTTTCTGTTTTTAGTAACAGTGACCTAACCTTGAACCAAGGGGGTCCAAATGCAATACTAACCAAGTCTTCACATAAGCTTGCTTTACACCAAGTTTGATTACATTATCTCATTCCTAACTCTAGTTATTGTCAAGAAACCATTTATCTATTTTTAGTAAAGGTGACCTTGACCTTAACCCCAGGGGTTCCAATTGCAATACCAACCAGGGTCTACATAAGGTTGCTATATATACCAAGTTTGATTACAATACCTCGTGTCAAACTCTAGTTATCATCTGGAAACCATGAAACCAATTTACCTACAAGCTTCCTACTATATACCCCCCTAAACTTCGTTTGTTGGGGGTATAAAAAGCTTTTGAAAAATAAAAGCATTTCTGAGGCACAATGGGCCTGCAATTATACTAGAACTTACTTTGCAGCATATTCAGCATCAAATGAGGCCCCCTGTACTTTCTGCTGTAAATCTTGTACCTCATGCTAGAAAAAGATAATGCTCTTCTATTTTATTATTCATAAAAAAAGGAAAAGACAAATATGTCTTCCTGACATTAATTACAATTTGATAAAATGACAAAATCTAAGAAATTGTACACAGCACTGAATTGGTCTTCAACCAGTAAAGTAACCAATCAGTCAGCCAAAAAATATTAAATGGACCAAAGTCAAGGTCACTTAAATCCTCCATTTAAGAGGTCTCAAGTATATGTAGTATTTCTTATATTATACCACATGTTACTAAAACAATATGATTATAAAAAAGTGCTATACATGCACAGGAAAAAAATCATTACTGCTTGAACAATATTTAACATATAATGTACTGCAAACTTTTAGCAGTATAAGATTTTTGTAAAAATGTTCTGCATGGTCACACACCACTTAATCTAAGATTACACTTTGTTGGTTTTTTTTTTTTAGTTTTATGTCATTCTAACACAGAATAGGTCATGTCTTGACCAGCTTAGTTGGTGTAGGAAGTTCTCAGATGTCTTCTCTTGCATTAATTCAGGCAGAAACGGGCATCTAAGTAGACACATCAACATTCCAATCATACTATTAGTACCCACTCATCTGACTCCCTGTACTTTTTTTTGTCAAACCTCAAATCATCATTATCATTTAAAAATTCTGAGATACTCTGATATAAGCAAAGTTAGAATGCATTTATATAACATATAATATTATTACCTAGTAAAACCACCCTGCTTACACAAAATTGAAAAGTACCAGAAAAATTACAAGTCTAAAACACAAAATTGAAAAGTACCAGAAAAAGTATCTATTAAATTCCAATCCAATTTTACACTTTCATAAATATTCCAATAAAAATTTTGGTAATTTATTTATTCTCATACATGTACATCTAGAGGCCAAGGAATTTCCTTTTCCTCCTGTTTATCTGAACTGCTCTAAAACATTATTTCAAGGCGGAGATGTGATACTATTTAAGTACATGTACATGTATTGCCCTTGAAATATTCCAAAATATTTATTTAAAACGAGGGCATAATTAATTTCTGTTTTAATTTTCTGAATTTCTCATTTTTAGAATTGGTGAGAAAAAACATTAAAATCTGCTACCAGTATTTTAGAAGGCCCCACCCTTTGCCCACGCCTCTTGTAAAATCTGAATGTCACAAGTTTACCTTTGTCTCAGCTAGCTGTGGTAAACATTTTCTCACATGTTCCTGTATTCTGAAGAAAGCCAAGGAAGGTTCATTTGCTATAATATTCATACTTTCAGATAACTTCTCTGTCACTGAAAAATATCAAAATACATTTTTTATTTTCTTATTTAACATTTTGACTTATCATTTCATAATCAACAGAAAATTTTTCAAAAAACAGGTGCTGTCAGCAGCACAGTATGATCAACTATTCTAAGTGCTCAATAGTTAAAAATAAAGCCTGGATAATGTAGAATTTTTAAGTTCAAAAAGGGACATAATTCTGTCAAAATCAATACAGTTACAGTGACCTCCCATTATGCTCTCAAGTAAGTGTGTGTAATTTAAACTCATTCCCTTCCATATTTATGGCGATACTAACTTACACGCAACAAACTTAACCAAAAGAGTGACACTGATGCGGGTGGGTTGTGTGATTACAATGGTTCTACCTATTCTTCAAATTGTCAACCTACATTTTGGTAAAAATTCACTCATTTTAGATAGAGTGAGACTAAAAAAAGGATTGAAGCACCACACTAAATACCATATTCCGGTACATACCGGACAAGACGTTTGAATGATAAAATGCTAAAATCTCGCCTTTTCACCTTACGGAATGAACTTTAAAACGTCTAATTCATCTTTTCACACCGATATATACGATAATGAATGAAAAATGTAAGAATCGGGGAAAAAATTGATATTAGTTCATTTTGTAGACATGATTTCTGAAAGCGTCTAATGCTCCAATCCTGTATTGAGCTAAATCCTTTTAGATAACAGCATTTTCAGTATAGTAAAACTGAAATGTTGGAGTGTGAATTAATATAGCAAATATAATTCCTCACCATAGTGCAGTAACAAATTTAACTCCCTATTATATTGTATAAGGAGTTAACTTATTACTGCACTAAAGTGACGATATAAACTAGATACAGGTTTACATATTACATAACATGTAACAAAAAGGAAGCAATGATGAGAATGTAAAGTCACTTAATACACCAATAATTGCACATACATTATTATTCGAGACCTACATCAAAAGGAGCACTTACCTTAAAAAATTACTTCCAGTCCCATTATGTCAAAAAACATCAGTGGAGTGAGTCCCTTCAATAAATGAGAACCTTATACAATTATAATATACAAATATAATTCATGTCTAACCTTTCTTAGTTTTAGCCTCCAGCTCTAGATCAGGATTTGCCTCTTTAAACATTTGTACCTGTGCCAATCTGTTATACCTACTGTCACCACCTGCAGTTAAGATAACTACCTATATATTTTACTATTATTAGAACCAGGGATAATCCTGAATGGATGGGTGGGACCTATAAAAGAGAATAGACACTAGGTAGTCAAAATATATGGACATGCCAAAGTTAGATTCTGAGATATGTTTGTTTTTAGTTAGAATCTGGCTTCTGGAGGGGAGATATTGTCCTTACACAAATAGCACATTATCTCAATATCTCAACACGTAGAACAATTAGTTGGACTAGAGAAGATGTACAAATGAGCTGTGTCAAGACAAAACCAACATAATGGGTTTGCGACCAGCATGGATCCAGCACAGTGTGATCAGGATCCATGCTGTTCACTGTTCATGCCGTTTGCTATTACAAGTAGAGAAACTGATGGCGAACAGCATGGATCCTGATCAGACTGCCCGGATGCGCAGGCTGGTCTGGATCCATGCTGGTCGCAAACGCACTATGTAGGTTTTGTCGTGACGCATCTCAAATTATATAAATTTCCTCACCTTATCTAACACATTTCAGCTTTTGTGTGGCTCATTCTAACTTATTATACTAGTTACTAGGAGTTGAGATTTTTTGGATGTGAGCAATTTAAGTGTGATTCTCAAAAACTAGCTTTGTATATTTTGACTGTGGGATGCATGATACCGTGTAATATTGAGTTACGGGTTACCGTTTTGGCAAATTTCCAACAACTACATGTATGCTCTTGGTTTTATCATTTCACGATAAGATTGAGTGTTGTCCTTTTAATGCTGAGGTACCGGTTCAAATTTCTGTCAAGGTTGGTAAAGGTCAAGGTTGGTAAAGGGTCAACTCTGCCCTGTACCAACTCGGCACGGGTCAACTTGGGCCCTCTATCAAAAACCTATTAGGATATAGATTGTTTAGTTTATAAAAAATTTAAGAAGTCAATAACTATATGCAAAGTATTCACAGGTATGATCACTAACAAACAGAAATTGAAAAAGTTGGCAGTGAACATGTACATATTATTTGAAAGAAGAGATATCAAGACAATAAATGTTTAATATAATATAATTGATCTTTAAATTGAATTTTATTACAATAAATGTAATTGAATTTAACACTGTTCTGTAACACTACCAATGCTGTTTGAACAATATATAAAATAAACAACATTTGAAATAGGCAAAACATGCATATTAATCGTAAATTCTTCCAATCTCTACAAATTCACATACAAATAAGGGCTGGAGCTAGGTCAAAATTTTAGGGAGAAGTGACTTCTCCCTCCTGCTGATTTAGGGAGAAGTGAGGAGACTTAAGGGAGGAGTTGGGGGACATATTAAGCGTCATCTGGAGAATTATAAGCTATGAAACTTTACAAACCAGAAATAAGAAACACTTCTCAAATAAACAATTCTACTATAAATCTACTTTACATAAATGTATACCAATAGCAAACACACTATTACATGGGTGAAAGTTGAAAATTTGGAAAAGCCTGAAAACTTTTATTCATAATCATTTCCCTACATAATCTAATAGTCAAACATGATGAAATTTGTCACACAAAAAAACCTGAGCTTCAGGCATATGCCTGAAAACTTGCATACATGCATATCCTGTATACATGTTGTGAGTATGTTTAGTTGGTAACAATTTTCAGGGCAGAGCCACACCTGTGGGCAGAGCAGTGCCACTTGCCATTGGCAATGGGTCAGACTGGTCATCATCTACAATTTTCTTTAAGCGATTTGCCCACAAGCCAGAATGTTAAAGACATTTAATTTTGTATAATCAGACAGCGTGTTAACTTTACGGAGTTCAATGTACTAATAAAATATTAGATACAAATCTTCACAAAATTTCAACAGATTAGTGCTCCGAAAAGTTTTTCGAACATATTCACACCTTTAAGATGTTGGGCAGTGTTTATCTTTACTCGTCAAAACACCGCAACAATTTTCAACAATTTGTCTTTAATCATGCAATCGGCGAAAATTGATTGAACCTGTCACCATTTTGTGTAATTGTCAACAATTAGCCACAGTATGTTAGTGTGTTGCTGATTGGTCAATGCAAACTGTCTCAGATACAACGCGCGTTCTGATTTGTCAATTGCATGAATACATAATGAGAATGATATACATAGTGAACTCTTGCCCTGCGGCGTGTATTACACTTTGTTGATGTTGACACGCGTTTTTAACTAGCCGATTAACGGTAATTGGTTGTAATTGAGAAGTAAATAAATTGTTAAGAGACCTAGCATCGTAAAAAAGTATGACAGACCACTAAAAAATCGGGCGACTTCAAAATCGCTTTGAAGTTTGTTTTAGGCGAAGGCGAAGATCCGAAGGCGACTTCTTCGCCCAAGTCACCCCCTAGCTCAAGCCCTGCATTGCAAATTGGTACTTTCATCAATAAAACTTTTCAATAACCTTGAGTAGAGCCTGAGGTATGTTACTGTGAAAATATTAAACAATGAAAGTTATGATGAAAACATTTAAAAAGTAATAAAAGTAATCATTACCAGTAATTATGGGCCGAGTTGACCTGTGCCGAGTTGGAACAGGGCCAAGCTGACTATGGGGCCAAGTACGTTTTAGGGCCAAGCTGACCCTGATTTGTCAAGGCCAAAAAATTATTCCAAATATACTGGCGGAGCATGGACTTTGTCAATTAAGTCCCTGACTGAAGTGACAACACAGAGCTCTATATTATGAAAAGAAATCTTCAGCTTTACAATACATGTATACAATTGATTAGTTCATTATGGTGATAGGTGTTTAAGCCAGATTTACGTAATTTAAACAATCATTAATCAAGGCATATATGTATTCCCTATACTTAGTAAACCGAAGTTAAACATACAGTAATATCCGAAAATAATATTATCCGGACATCCTTCACTTGAAACACTGTTTATTACCACGTTAATAGTTACCAAGAATGAAATACTTGCATTCGTATAAAGTGTACTTTACCTTGCATTCTCGGTTGAGGTTCTGTTACATAACTAAACGCATTTTCCATTTAACTAAAATTGAAAACAAGAGGGTTTTTTAACATCTAAAATATTAAAAAGGCTAAACACTGCTAAATACTATATACAGGTGTAACACCACTAAATATTTTCCCTCGATCTGTTTATAATCCTGTCTTCCGGGAGCGCAATACTTGTCTTAACATGGCCAAAATTTATTCCGCAATCCAAATTTAAGCCTGCTATAAAAGATGCAATATAGATCAAAACTATCAGCACGTTTAGTGACCCGTGCCATTACGAAACATAAATTAATTTGTAATATACTGTATAGATAGAACTACGGTAGAGCAATCCCAATGTACACGTAGGACAGCGTGGATCACAAGAATCTTAACAGAAACAGCAAGGCCATGAATTAAGGCAACCAGTGTGATCTTCAGACAACATAAAGGATTAATTAATGCTTGGAAATAAATTCTGCAGGAATTTTGAATTCAGGATTAATATTTTTAAAAGAATAGAGAATCTAATATAGCTAGAACGAGACCTTCCGCCAAATTTGGAAAGATTAAAAGTCTACCTGATAAAAGTTGAAAATTTGTGTTCAAGTCGTTTACCTTTTTCATAATTTACTTTTTATAGGATATATATGTGCTTTTGTCACAAGCGTGTACGTTATTTTGCCCCAAGTTTCATGAAAGGTTTATTATTGTCAACAATTTGGCACTTGCTTTTAAAAAAATATATTGTGCAAGCTGAACAAATAATCCAGAATACTTCAATAGGTGAATTATTAACATGTTATCGCTTTACAAGTTTTTGAATACATGTATGTATACTTTAATAGTAAGAAAATAAGTAGTCAAGTGCAAATTTTTGAAATTCCCTTTAATTTACCAACGTTTTGGCTGAATAGTCTTCTTCAGGATACATAAATAAAAAGTAAACAGGAAATTATGTCAGCGTCACGTACATTACGTCAATAACAATTACTTTTTTTTTCATTTAAAATAGAATCTCAACATGTGATCTACTTGTCAAAACAAATACAGAATGAACAAAAATTGCAGAAGCGCAAGAGACAAAAAAGTTTACCGCCAATAATATAAGCGACCAATAGAAAGTTGTTTACTGTCTACGTAATGCATAAATTAAAATCCACCAATGAAAAAGAGTTTTTAAAAGGTCAAATTCATCCAACCTTATAATTAAGTTACATTAGTTTAAAATAAACAACATTGTCAAGTTTAGCTGAATTGACTATAATTATATTTCAAAAGATTGACCATTAAAATGCAGATTGATCAACAGTTGATATTTGAAATTGAAGGGGATAAAATATAAATCTGCCTAAAGTATACAAAGACTTGCCCACTCATTTTTTTATAATCTGAACGTAAGAAATACATTTGATCTATTTGTCAAACAAATACAGAATGAACAAAAATTGCTGAAGCGCAAGAGGCAAAAAAGTTTACCGCCAATAATATAAGCGACCAATAGAAAGTTGTTTACTGCCTACGTAATGCATAAATTAAAATCCACCAATGAAAAAGAGTTTTTAAAAGGTCAAATTCATTCAACCTGATAATTAAGTTATTTTAGTTCAAAATAAACAAAAATAAAAAATAAACAGGAAATTATGTCAGCGTCACGTTCATTACGTCAATAACGATTACTTGATTACATGTAAACAGGTTCAAAACAATATGTTGGACAAACTAGTCAACAATGCTTCAAACGTATAAATAGTTAATTATAGATTTGATATACACCATTAAGCTGAAACTACTACAACTGTTTCTGAACATTTTAATAGCCAAGGACATACTATCAAGGATTTCTCATTTATGCCTATTGATAAAGTAACACATCTTTGGAAAAGACTTTTAAAAGAGATTTCCTGGATATATCATTTGGATAGTTTATCACCAAATGGAATGAATTCCAAAATTTTATTCTAATATCTATCAATTACTAAAAAGTATCTTAGTCAGTTTTACTGGTGTTTTTACTTTATATATATTAAATAAACTTTATAAGGAATTGAGCAATAAGATAGCAAAGACATCAAGTATGTCGCACCTTGTAATGTTACCGATTTGTAATACGTTTGTGCTTTAGGACGGGTTGTATAAATCAAGCAGGCACAGTTCCAAATGTTTTTCATTGCTAGGTATTTTTACACTAGTGTCTAGGTTCTAATAATGATTCTTATTGTTTAAAACTCACCGTACCGCTATGCCAGTACGCCGAAACATGTATCTAGAATGGATTACAAACGAGATTTCATAACCATTTTGAGAACAGTATCATGTCAGAATTTTAGTATACATGTATTAAGTAAAACAATTATGTATCTTTTTTATTATTTTCTCCCCAAACTTTACAAATTCAAATATTAAATTACATTTAAGGACATAAAATACAATCACATTACAGGACAATATACAATGTATGTATAACAATGGGATTATCATTACATGTAGTTATTAATTTAACCTTTTACCTCATATAAACGTGTTTTGACGGCTCCCCCCTTTTGAGGTCTCAAACAGTTAAAAGAATACCCTGATTAAGCCCCAAACACTGTTTTTCGTCAGAGAAATGTTGTTAAAAAAGTGATCACTTTTTCGCCGCCGCCCCCATCAAAATGGTACATCAAGTTGTTGCCAAAAGGGGGATGTGCCCCCTCCTGTTTGGGGGGTTTGAAGGGGGCGGAAGTCCCCCTCATCGCAAAGAAAATTTTGGACATTTGACAGGTTAAAAATGGCCTCAGGTCGATCTCAGGGTAACTAGTAACCAACTCTGAAAAGCCTTTGACTCGATCCATTGAGAAATTACAGCGCTTTGAAATCAGTTTTGATGGAAAAAAACAAAAACAATGCAAAATAGTGATTTTCGCAATTTTGAAACGTCCCCCGTTGCCATTGTAACAGGTAATTTACAATTGAGCATACTTTTGCAGAGGGTATGGTCCAGTCAACATTTGTGCCAAGTTTCACCAGTGTTGAAGCATTTTTCATAGTTTCATAGCAGTTTGAACTTGTAACAGGAGGCCTTTCAATGAAAACGGCAATTTTTCACAATATGCTCAGGCGGTAAAAAGTAAATACATGAATCAACTAAATTGCATTTAATTGCTTTACAGTCGAATGTACTTTGAATTGTATCGTTTAAAGATTTTCAATAGTTTTATTCTTTCTTCATAAATATGTAATGGGTCATCCATGGCCTTTCCTGATAACGATAAAGTAAAAACCTCTGACATTACATAAATTGTTTTATTTATTTAAGCTTCTATAGCTGCTCCCACAGTTACGATCTAACCAAAAAAATAGAAAGAAATAAAGAAACCCTAAAGAAACTAAAGAAACGCTGTTTGACGAGTAACAACCAAAATGATAGCATGCAACCTTCTAAACTTGACTTGACGTTCTACTTTACCTCTCCACTTCCGAACGAAAAGTACAAATTTAAGTATATGGTTTTGCAAATTTTAATGAATATACGATAGGAATTTTAACCAAGCAAAGCACCTCTCAGGAGATTTCCTTCCGTTATCATGTAGCTTGGTTAATGATTGTCAATATTACAAGGCTTTATGGAAAGTATCACTTTTTTCACTAAAACACTAAGTGTCTTTGCGATAACTGACAAGCATAATTATACATACATGTCATTTCGATGATCCATAAAAAATAAATAAAATCTTTAACATCTCGGTGTTAACATTGTCTTCGCCATGTTTTCTTTTTCAGTAATACGTATGCTTTAGCTTGAGAATCAGTTAGTTAGTTATTTTTCATAACGTTGTTTACAGATATGAGTTATGTTATATGTTCTGAAGGTCATAGGTTTCAATTTGACGTCATGGTTCACATTCCTTTATCCAAAACGGAAATAAAATACCACTTATGCCACTCATATACACACACGGACCAACGCACGCACGCACACTAACACACATACACACTTGTAAGCCATCCCAAAATTTAAGTACTTACAATATCTAGGGCAAATTATAAGTGGTACAATTAAAATTAGAGGTGTATTGAAGGGAAGAGGGAAGACGGGTGGATAATTACAACGTAAAGGAAATGGATCCAATAATTAAGTATTGTCATGTATGCAAAAGTTCTTTATTTTCTAATCCTTCGCTTGCACAAACGAAAAGAAATTATTTTTTCTCTTTATTAATTATAATAAACAACGAGAAGACATCAGAAATGGTTAACTGCATTGATTTAATGATATCGATGAGTACACAAATAAATTCATTCAAAAATCATGGAATGACAATACAATGTATAATTATATAAGGATAAGATAATATTTTCATTTACAAAATTTTTATTTGCTTTTGTTTTGTTTTTTACAATTGGCTTCAATCTCATTTCGTTGATGTTCTATTAACCATCCTCCTACACTACGTAAGTCTGGAGTTCGTCCCTTTCCACTTCGTTTCCATAGTGACGTGAGCAGGAATCTAGTTTGATAAAAATGAACATGGTTCAAACTTCCTAGAGGTAATTCTCTCTTAATTGTCACTTTATTTCCATTAATCACCTTTAAATTAGTAAAATCCATACTATAGCTATCCTTTGACTTTGTCTCGTACAATATATATTATCATATATTAGTAAAATGGCAACTGTCGTGTTGATTTTATTTACAGATGAACTGTACGTTTTCCTCATTAAAGGAATTCCAAAGCACGTTTTCTTTCTACAAAAATTTGCCCTATGTCTTCTTTGGTTTTCCCTGAACAGATCAAATTGCAAAAATCTGGCATAACATGAAGAACTAGTTCCCTAAAAGCTTCAAGAGGTTGGTTGTTGTTGAAACATTTACGGGTAAACGATTTAAATGCACTCTCATATGAAAATATCTGCAGGATCAGGTTCTTATCAGCATTGTTAAATAAACATTTTTTATGCAGGTGTAATAATCGTTCTGCCTCATCTCTCCATTTCCTGAACTCGGGGAAAAGGTCAGGTTTTGAAATTGATAATGCGACGCAATGATATAATTTAGGAATTTTAAGCAAGATACTACTACCTTCATCGAGGCAGTCTGACAGGAAGCTGATGATGGCTTCCTTATCTTTACCAAACACATAACCTCT